GGACCTGAGTGTGCTAAAGCAATATGTCTGAACAACCAATGTGCTACAATTCACGCGTGCTCTGTCGAGCTAAATTAATGAATTTATCCATCTCTAAATATATTTTATTTCATTCAGAATTAATTTGTATTTTTATTTTGTGGGTCGTTTAATAAAATTTGGCTTTCATGGGTATCAGTTTGAGGGAAAAAAAACACGATAATGTAATCACATGCACTGCTCACCACCCTCTGTTTCCTAAATGATGCATATTTATTCAAGCTGCGGACGCGAATGTTGCCGTTGTGTTGCATACAAGAAAGAATAACGAATGAATGTTCTTTGCATACATTGAGATCTTCGAAATTCGTCGTATAATTGATTGAAAAAGTTTAAAAAAAACACTTTTCTTTGTTAATGATATTCTCGAAAAGTAATTATTCAATTACTGTCTACGTGTCGTATCTTACAAACAGTAGTCACCCTGAGACGTTTACAAATCTGATATGCAAACAGAACTAAGTTGCAAATGTAAGATACAGCAATTTATCAAGCTTTTATTGCTGCCTATCACGTGCAGTTACGTAAATACTTTTGTTCGAATGTAACGCTGTGACGTTTTTGACACATTTTGTTTTTCATTATTTCGGAAATTGTGTGAGTTAGAAAGTTCGTTCAAACGTCATTTGATGCAGCTTGTCTTGATATGTTTATGGAATAAAATGACCTGTCTTGGATAAAGTCTCTAGCTTATAGAAAGGAATTTTGGCTGCCTGACGACGAAATAAAAAGATCCTTTTCTTCAGGGTCACTAATAAGCTGCAATATCTTCTGTGACTATTTCGCCAAATGAAACACTTCTATAATTAGTTTTGTAGCGTTTTGCCCAGGCTTTAAAACACTAACAACGTTTTCTACAGTTATTTTTACTTAGATAAAAAATTCAAAGAAAAACGTGACATATTTAGTAACACAGAGGTACAATTTTTCTCCACCTATTTTGAAGCACTTATGACATGATCAGAATTACTTGATTTTTATTAGTACTAGCCTTTTCTTTGTAACTAATCGTTATACACAAGAACGAAATTGATACATCCACACGGAAGCTCATAAGCGACAAATCGTTAGAAAGTGTATAAGAGTCTGCATTGTCCTTAGCTACGAATGTCAAAACAAAACAGGCCATCTAGTAAAGGCTGGAATTCTACAACTAATGATCTGTCATTGATATTTTTTGAAAATATTTCTTGGTTAAACAACTCAAAATGCGATTTTTGAAAATTTTAAAACTCGATTTGAGTGTGGGATGATGTGAGTATAAACCAGAGACGTGCACAGGGCATCATTTTTTCTCCTGTCCTTGCCTGTCCTGTTGACTACGTTGGTCCTGGCGAGCGCCAGGACAGGACAAAATCTAAATGTCATCCTGTCCTACAGGACAGGATAGGACAGAACACCAGGGCAACAGGACTGCCCTGCTGTTATGATCTGTGTATGCACACACAGATCATTAGCATCATCTATCTTTCTTTCTCCTATTGTCCTCTACACATTATTCTGTATTCTTTATTTCATTGGAGATAGTTGGATACGAGTATATCTGTCCCTGTGATTATTGTTGAGAGATTTCTTGTTTATTATTGTTAAAGTGTATGTTATCGAACCTGCTAATAAAGAAGTGAAAATACACCGTAATAATTGGGGACCCTGGTTTAAAAAAAAAATATATATATATATATATACATATATAAATATATAAAAAATAAAAAATAAATCGTATATCATGACTACTATTCATGAAGAAAAATAACAACTTCTTGGTATTAATAAAGATGAAATGTTAATCGTTCAACGTATTGTTGATCATCGTGTTTGAAATGGTGGAAAAGAATTTTTAATTGCATGGAAAGGTTATCCTGAAGAACGCAATACTTGGGAACCCCAACAAAATTTAGATTATCCACATTTAATAGAAGAATATGAAAATAGTTTATTGCAACAATCTCGTTATATGACCAATCATTCATTATCTTTATTATCAAATTCTATTGCCTCTTATAAATTTTGTGAATATGATATTTGTCATGAAAATAATCCACATGATAATCATACATTATTAAATTTTCTTCGTCAGCATGTTCCATATTTTTCTGGTGCTGAAAATGCTCGAGAATGGTTCATAAAAATTGATTCAAAATTTTCTGAACTTAAATTATCTTTTCAACATCGACTTGACATTCTTCCAAATTTTTTTACATGCGATGGAATTATTTGGTATAGTTTGAATGAAGAAAAATTTAAATGTTATACTGATTTTTGTCGATTATTTGCATTTGAATATATGAAATTCGAACAATTTCCTCGTGACGCTACTAAACAAAACTCGAATCAATTTTCCTCATTAATTTCACCTGTCGTTATTAATGATCATGTTATTAATGATTCTTCGTATTATTCAAATGGTCCATCAGTATCATTTGATCAAAAACGACCCATGATACGTACATATACAGACACATCTGCTCCCGATTTCGCGTTAAAATTCTATAATTCTCAAACAGAAAAGCCTGTTAATACATTTAATCCAACAACATCATCAGTTTCACTTGTTCCAACTCAACCAATTAGTTCAAGCTTATTAAATCCTATTACCAATCCACCTCCACATCCTACGATTAAATCATTATTAGATATATTACAATTTATTTTTGATATGAAGAAATGTTCAATTACGCAAACAAAAATATGTTGTACCATTGAAACGTATCGTCATCCTCAACCTGTATTAAAATCTTATGTCCTTTTTTGGCAACTACGTATTGATAAAACTGATTATCTTATAACGTTTTTTGCACTTTTTGGTGTATACCAATGGATTATTTTTTGTCAAAATACTCATCCTGCTCAACCTGTTCTTCCAACTGATCGTCCGCCAACAACAAATGAATTTATCTCTGACCATTTTCTGAAACTGATGGTTATCAATTTTGTCTATGTTGATGCTTTACCCGGTACTTCAAATGTTCTACTGATGTTATTTTCCTGATATTGCACAATTACTTATGGTATTTCTTCTATGTCATTATATGGGTCCAGTTATATTTTTTCTTTCTCATTTCTACTTGATACATGTAATCAAGTATTTTCGTATTTGAATATATCGTGTGCTTTCATAACTCTCTAGATATTGTATGTGATATACAAAAACTTTTCTTTTTTCGTTAGGTTTTTTTTTCTAGTCATGTTGGTTTTCTATTTTTTCTTCTTCTTCCACATCATTTTGTTGTATCCTTTTGCTCTATAAAAAAAAGAAACAACAAGTGTTTCATTGTTTCTTTTTTTTGTGCGACTGGGAAGAGTGTTATGATCTGTGTATGCACATACAGATCACTAGCATCATCTATCTTTCTTTCTCATATTGTCCTCTACACATTATTCTGTATTCTTTATTTCATTGGAGATAATTGGATACGAGTATATCTGTCCCTGTGATTATTGTTGAGAGATTTCTTGTTTATTATTGTTAAAGTGTATGTTATCGAACCTGCTAATAAAGAAGTGAAAATACACCTTAACACCTGCCCTGTGCACGTCTCTGATTCAGACTCTATTTTAAAATTCGTCAATGTATAAAATTTTCAAAGAATACCGATTTCTGAGGTTCATTTTTAAAGGAAAAACAATATTTTACACTGACTTGTATCGACAAAATTTTCATCAACACATTCGAGTCTAAGATCGAGGAGATCATTGCAACAAGGCCACGAAGATTTCACAACAATCCGCTTTATTGAAGTTTGATACTAAAGAAGCATAAATTTTAGGAATGATTGAAAATATTATTTGTGCACAGTTAATCTTACTCTGACAAGTTTTACGTGTTCTGTTGATTGTGTCTCGGGATCCAGACTTGATTTGGTCGACGTGGCTAATAAAAGCAAGAACTTGTAGAATTAAATCACAAAGCCTTTTACATGTTTTTTTGACGGATTTACCTGGTCTTTTCGAAGAAATCGGTTTGTCAGTAGAAATAGATTCAAAAGTATCGGTTATCGACCTACATAGAAGTAACATTGTATGAAATGATCACAGATTTTTGGAGAGTTTCTGAGACTAGTATATCTGGGAGTTTCAGTGTTTCTTGAGGATCTGAGACGTTGGATTCTATAGACTCGGATATCAAATAGAATGTTACAGTAGGCAACAGAGAGTTCGCTATTGTAATAGAAACAACATTTTATGTTCTTGATTGAACAAAATTTCGATACACAGGTTGGGTTTGCTAAAGGCTGGTGGAAATAAGTTATCTTTCATGCGGGTATAGGGAGGTCTTAGCGAAAGAAGAGTAAATTAGTGTTGCTAGAGAATAGTTCGATCATATTTTCATATTCTGTTGAGGTTGTCGGAGAAAAGTCTGAGGTTCAGTCGATATGCAGACTCATCTAACGTAAGTTTTGTATCTTGATTAAACCACATGAGCATATAATCAGATTGTTGAAGCTATGGACAGTCATGCCAAGTAATACGACAGGATATTGGTACTGATTGTCGAGATTGGTAAAATCGCATCATTTGACTTCTAATATTGGAACAAATTACATGCAAGCTTCTGCATTTATGGCATACGGATGTATGTGCAAAACTAAGTAGTAACATTCAGAATATAGATCGTTATGGAGGCAGCTTAGGTAGAGTTTCTTTAGACGACACTTTCATTAAGAATAAAAATGAAAGCTCACAATGATAAGAGATACAGAATGTTGGGAAAATACTGAGTGTAAGGGTTTTTTGCATGTAAAAGAACCTGAAAAGTATATTTCACATTACGGTAGAGTGTTAGGTAGGGAAATCTAATCAGGGTCGTATAAAAAAAATAGGCGCTGTCTCAGGCTTGGGTGACTTAGAATATGAGGAGCCATAACGATCTCTATTCAGAATATTGAAACTATATGCTTGCTGCATACGTCAACACAATAGTGATACAGATCGTTTAAATGAATCATTGAGAAGCATTCTGACAGATCTTCAGTTGTGTTTGAAGCTGTAAAAGCATCATCTATGAAAAAAAATTTTAAAAAAGCGTAGATACTACAAAAGAAAGTAATTACTTTATTTGCTTTTTACAATTTTTCTTTCTACAAGCGATATATTAAGTATAAGTTGTGCACAGAGCAGAGCACAGGACAAGTTTTTCTGCCCTGCTCTGTCCTGACGGGTGGCAGGACAGGACAAAAACTCTACCCTTGTCCTGTAGGGCAGGGCAGGACATCAGGACCGTCCTGTTTTGTAATAATCATGGATGTGATAACAGTAATATTTGTCATTTTTACTGTCAGTAATCCAACCCTAGGTTAATTAATTTGCTACATCGTAGCCAGCATATTTCATATAATTTTCAATATCAAAACTGACTTTTTTTAGTAAACAATAACATCTTAAATACGAAAAAAGAGGAAACAATCTTGTTTTATTATTTTTACGACAGCCTCATTACTGGAAATAAAATTTACAAATAATCTAGGATTCTAGCAGTATTATCTTCACATATAAAGAATGATACTATAAAAGGAGAACATGAAAAAGTACTTGGTATAATAAGTATGATACAAATCAGAACACATACTGAGTAAAATATTCACAAAATATATATATACCAGTATCAGAGCTGAGCACAGGATACGATGATTATTGTCATAAATAAATGATTGCTCTTCTTTTTAACTCTTGTGAACCTTTTTCAAATGGCACAATAAACATTTTGATTAAAAAAAAGGTTGAGCACAGGACAAATTTTTCTGCCCTGTCCTGCTATTCTGGTCTGTCCTGGCGGGTGGCAGGAAAGGACAAAAACTCTACCCTTGTCCTACAGGGCAGGGCAGGGCAGGGCAGTAGGGCAGTCTTGTCCTGTGCTCAGCTCTGGTTGTGCATAAATAAAAAAATATATTCAACCACCAGGATTTATTTTTATCGCTAACTTCAATATTTTAGTTATAGTTTTAAATATCTATAAGCAAAGTAATAATATTTTGTGGAACTCGCATATATTTTCGAAGAAAATGGCGAGTGTAAGTTTAAAAGAGAGACTTTTGCGGCTATCCCTCTCCATTACAGACATTAATGAGTTTAAAATTGTGCTAATTAGGAGTTTGACTAATTAGTCTGCTATTTCTTCATTTTTTAATTAAAGACTACACGAAAAAACCAATGCTTACCCATTACAGACCATAGAAACTAATCTATGCCATTGTTAAATACACGAGCTGACAAGCTTTTTCAAAATTTTTAAATTTCCATACGCTTTTTTGCATAGCCATGATATTCAATCATATCTGTATGAGAAGTAACTTAGTCTAAAGCCAAGCGAATCGACTGACGATGAGTGTTACTTGTATTTTAATCTTAAACTACAAATTTGATTTGATATGACATTAAGATCGATCTGGGCGCGTTTCTAATGTATACAGAAACCGAAATGATGATCGCAGTGACTTAGAATGATCTTATTTTAAACACCCCTCAGTGAGAAACGAATTAGCTCTTAGTCTCCATTGTTGATTTCTTCGCTGTTGATTTATAAAATTCGAAAGTCTTTCTCCCATATAATTACATTACCAGGGAAAAATGGATGTACTTCTAATCAACTTATCTATCTTGATTATCGTGCTAAATTATTGAATAGATAATAACTGTATTTATTTAAAAAAACAGCAATTATTGTTTGCCTTTTTCCATAAAATAAAAGTACTTTTCTAGAACAAACAACATTGCTCTGATGTCGTCAACGCTTTGTGTCGATCACGGGTTTTGAAAAAGCCCCCGGTATGAATGAGAATTACAAATGAAAGAATGACGTAATTCTTTCTAACAAAATATTCAAGTAGAAGGAAAAATGGATTACATGTGCACACTAGTGAAGAGTATTGTTGTTATTGGTCTCCTATAAGTGCAATGGAATTCAGCTGTGCCTTTAGATGACAGAACAGAAGAATTATTTTTCATTCCATTCCGTGGCATTGACGACAAAACAGCATGGCACAGTTAAGAAATACTCGTTCGGCTGTTCCGAAGTCGGCTGTCCCGAAGTCAGCTGTCCCGAAGTCAGCTGTCCCGAAGTCAGCTGTCCCGAAGTCGGCCCGTCAAAAGTGTAAACATACAGGAACAAAGTTTGAAGAACTTTCAGCTGAGATTGTTTTGGAAATTTTTGATTATCTAGTTGCACATGAAATCTGTAACTCGTTTTATGGCCTCAATAGTCGATTCAAACAACTTGTATCGAATGCAACAAATGTTCGTCTCAATTTAACTCGAACAGAAACAAAACTTTTTCGAATATTCCAGCAAATTTTCAATGAACAACATGTAATTTCACTTGAACTTTTATATGAAAATATCAACTTTTTAGAAATATTTTCTCACCCAAAACGATTACAATCAATTGCACTTTATGAGGTGCCACTTTTTGCATTCGAAAATGAAATACCCGCATTATTGGACGCTTTCAAGTATCAACTGCGAGATCTACACATTGTATTCAGTAACATGAAATTCACCGGATCTGGTGAACGTGCTGCTCAATCATTCGGATATCTACTCACAGAGTTACCATTTTTAACAAATTTAAAATTGAGATCTTCGAACGGAGTCAATTCAATAACGTATATGCCTTCAACAATTGTTAACAATACAATTCGCAGTTTGACAATTAGCATACGTGAAATGGAACGTTTGATTCCATTACTTCATCGATTCCAAAAATTAAAAGTCCTTACACTGTACATTTATGAATTCCGTGGAAAAAAGGCACAACCAGCAGAGAATATTAGGTATTATCGAGATCAAATAAGTGAAAAGACATCAATGGAATATCCTGCAAAATTCCGTCATCTCAACTTGCATACGATGGCATATTTAGGAAGTGTCCAAAAACTGCTCCCATTGATTACTCCCCCAACGTTATTTACTTTGAGCTTTTTTCATGAGCGAGCACCAGTGAAAAGGCCGATACCGAGAAGACAACCCCCGTTTCTTGATGGTACACAATGGCATGACATGTTGAAAACATTTTTACCCCCAACAATGAAAAAGTTATACATTGAATACGATGATGTCGATGATACAATGTCACGAACAAATCCAGAACGAGTTAAAAAGGAATTTATTCAATATTATGGAGAAAACTTGTTGCGGGAAGTTTTCTTTACGTATGACAAAGATACCAAACTGATGTCTTTCGATGCACATTTTATTTAGTAACGTTCAGTCGGATATCAACAAATACAACGATTTTCGAGAACCTTCGTTATAATTTTCATTCTTGAGATTTTAATACTCTATAGTAGGGTGGGCTGTGAATGTGCTGCATTCTTGCTCAAGAGACTCATCGGGTAGCTGTATTCTTGTAGTTAGTTGTTCAAGCTAATAAATGAGACAGAAATAAAAATATTATTTGTGAAACACTTTATGATTGATTAAAATGAAGTTATGGGCTAAAATAAGTGACAATCACATTTACAGTCGACCGGAGACCAGTTTGCACGTGAAAAAGTCAATGATGAAAAAAATAACGCTTCTATTCCATAAAAATGGGTCTTATCGATGTTGAGTCTATAAGACATGTTATTTGAAAATTTTCAAATTGAGTCTCATACAAGGATTTAGTTGTTGTCACCCGTTTTGAGGTATGCGGCTTCATTTGGAATCAAATAAAAAGAGTTACAAGATTATTTTTATTATTCAGTGATTTTCATAATATTCAGTATAACGAAATTGAAGAGGATAGGAAACAAAGATAAACTGCCAAAAGACTTCCAATCTAACATCGTATATCAATTAAATTGCACAGACTATTCAGCTACTTACATAGGGAAAACAGCTAGACAGGCTGGCCGACGCTTGAAAGAGCACGGCGTTCCGTCAAATGCATCAGTTGATAAACCTGTTCAGTTCCTTAGACGTTCTGCGAGAATCGCTGCAGATAAAAACTTTAAAAAGTCATGCGCGGAATCTGAAAGTAGTGATGAAGAACACGAGAGTGCAACATTAACATCAACATCAGCTTTAAAACGTCATGTAGCAACTACCAAACATCAGATAGATTGATACAATTGGGCACTATTGAGCAGAGACAAGCATCCTTACAGACTACTGATAAAGGAATCTCTGGTCATCGCTAAAACCTTGCTTAGCTTAAATCAAACTGTGAGATATGTGCCTTTGATAGTCTATCCTGAAGGTTTCATTAACAGATATACAGAAAACAAAAGCTATCAACAACGCCATTCACATATAGATAAACTCAAATAATCATCGCTTCATAAATTTAAATCTTCTTACCTTTATACTATTTATCATTTTTCTATCTTATATAATTAATATTTAATAATTGTAACTTTCATCCATCAGTACATCGATGTCGTTAATCTATGCTATCTTAATGTCGCTATTTTCTAAGTTTAACTATTATACAAATTCATACTATTATTATAACTTCACATGTTCCATCGTTCTATATTACCATTATGATATGCCATCGTTTATCTTATTGGTAAAGTAATAATTTCGTTTTTATTTTTGCCATTACTATTTCTCTCAACAATTTTCTCTCTTACGTTTGTTATACTTGATAAATAAAAATATGATTACTAAATTTGAGACTGACACTAGTATTTTTTTCAAAGCATATTTTTAATATTTCAAAAGAATAGATATTTTCGAAATTACTATTTTATACATTTTTATAAAGATAAGAAAGACAATGAGATTAGAAAGCGTCTAAAAAGTCATTTTCGAAAAAAAATCGTTTTTATAACGACACTTTCGAAGCTAACAATGTGAAACTTCAATATGCGCATCAGCATGATTTTGGCAACACAAAATACGTACATTAAATAATTTCTGGTACACTATAATTACGTTTTAGAATATTTACTTAATTACCAGAATAATGATCTACCCTATTAGTTCCTGCAATTTTAAAAGAGAGCTCTTTCTTCCTTTTTTCAGATATTCTATTTTTGTTTGTTTTGCTACTATTTACTCTGCAGTTGTCATTTACAATCTTTATTTCACTAATGCTGAATTAAAAGTGCAACAAAGTTATTCCAAATATTTGTTTCAAGAAAATTAGAACTGAATAACTTTTCGATTTTCCTTAGGGAAAATTAAAATTCCTGTTTTTCATGCAGGAAAATTTCTTTTTTTTCTTTTAAGAAGGAAATGAGCTTTCAATAACTTCTGGGAGAATTTTGCTCTCTCTGGAAACACATGTTTTCGTATCAAAATATGGAAGCATCTCCATTGACGTCTATTTTTAATGCAGAATTTTCGATAGATATTCAGGAATCAGTTCTAAACGATTTTGAACATGTTCACACGAAACGATAGAAACGCGTTCTTACTCGTTTCTTTCTGTCGATATTTTTCCATGAGTAGACGAAATATGAGTAAATATACGAATTCACCATACAGCAAGAGGCGAATGCAACGGAACCGTTAAAAAATAAGAAAGGTACACCAAGGGCAAAGCATGAGCCATTTTTTAAATATATTATGCATTATCTGATAGAGCTCGCAATGCTGATTCCGAATATGTGCTTGAGGGTGTGGGTGCCGGTCTTGGTGTGGTGGGTGTCAGGATGTGAATGTGAATGTGAGCAATGTCTTCTATTAAACCATGCCTACACCCACCCACACCCAAATAGCACGCTCATTGATAGTTACAAAGAGAAACGAAGTAGTGAAAGGCACACGTGTAATCACAGCACTTTCATTGCCAATTTTTATAAATCCCGCAGGTCCTACTGAAGAATAATTCACTTGTTTTTGTATATACGTTTTTTAAAAAGCTGTCTTTTTAGAATAAATGAATCTTAATAAAACAAATATGCCTAGGAAGCACCTGTTTTACGTATGTCCTATCTATCTCATTCCTTTTGTTGCTAATCGATAATATCGACCACCAAGAGCAAGTAATTCTTCGTGACTTCCACTTTCCACGATGTTTCCATTATGAATAACACATATTATATCTGCATTTTGAATTGTTGATAAACGATGTGCAATTGTTATCGATGTACGATTTTGTTGAACACGATCTAATGCTTCTTGAGCTATCTTTTCATTTTCACTATCTAACGCACTTGTTGCTAGATGATCAGACAAAAAACATATTCATATTGTAAAATCTAAAGTTCTCTTTTTATGATTTACCTTCATCAAGTAATAAAATCTTTGGGCTTCGAATTAAAGCTCGAGCGATAGCTAAATTAAACAAATTCTTTTTAGCTGAACACAATATTTTTAAGATGATCTAACCAATTCTTTGTTTTTGTCCACCTGATAATTGAGTTCCATGGGCACCACACATAGTTTCATATCCCCTTTAATATTACAGAAAAATAATAGATTCCTTATCATAGCAAAAAAAGTAATCACTGACATTCGGAAGAAGTTGGATGAAATCATGAATATTTGCATCTTTTGCTACTTGAATAATTTCATTGAGTGAAATATCTGTTCGACTGTTATCACCATATGCAATATTTTCTCGAATTGATATATCGAAAAGAACTGGCTGCTGAGAAACAACAGCAACTAATCAATTAAATAAATTATTTCGATAGAGACATTTCTGCAGTTACTTTGTGATCGATGCCATTGAAGATTAAGACTTCGAATATCTTTTGAATCAATCAACTAGAAACATAACATGCATATGGAAAAGCGATGCACAGAAAAAAAGTGACTTACGAGACGACCCATATTTACACCATAGAAACGTTCAATTAATTGAATAGTAGTTGATTTTCCGCAGCCAGATGTACCTAAGCAGTCAGGTATTTTAAAAATGAATCATTGTACCACGAAGTAACAACACATACCAACAAGTGCTATTTTTTGTCCTATGAGAAATATTTTTAAAAAAGAAGTTATTCAGGATATTTCTATACCTGATTTGATGTGAAGTTTGAAATTTTTTAGAACAGTTGATTCAGACCTATTTGGATAATTGAAATACACATGATCGAAATCAATTTGTCCATTAAAATGTTCACACACAATTTCGCCACCAGTTTTCGATTCGTTATCTATTGATGGTTTTTGATTCAACAATGTGAAAATGTTCGTTGCAGCTTCAGTTGCTCTTCCATAGTCGGGAAATCTAAGAAAACAAAACAAATTCATTTTTTTACTACTAAATCGACAGCTTATACAATGTTAACTCTCGGCCAATGGTTCGGGCAGCCAGAACAACAGCATTCAAAACTCTAAAATATGATTTATTCAAGGATACTAATGAATTCTTTTCCCTAGTATTAGTACATACAGAAACATATCTTCAAATGTAACTGTATCTCGATCAACAAGAAACGTGCCGAGAGAAATGAAAGCCGCTGTGGAAAAGTAAACGACAGCACTGGTGATAGAAAATAAAATACTCAAAATATGAGCGCGTGTAATAGATGACCTGAATATAAATTGAACAAAGATTTAAATTAAGAAAAAATGTAACCCTACCTATGAATGGTATTGAGTATTTCACAATATTCATTATAAAAGTAGCTTTCTTTTGTCAACTGCATCACTGTTTGAATGTTTTGAATGGCTTCCATAGCGATCTTCAGTAGAATAAAAAAGAGAATCCATGATAATAAAAGAAAAAAATCATTACCACAGACCTTTCCAGCATTCTCTAGGATGTGTTTGCCTTTGCTTGAATAATAAGCTGTTAATCGCGTTTGTAAAAAGCCTCCGAATAACATTAATGGAAGAAAAATTATCATAAGCAATGTTAATTGCCATGAGTATGCAAATCCAAGAAGAATACCAGCAACAATGGCGAAAAGATATTGAAAAATTAAACCAAATCGTACACCACTTGCACAGCTGAAGCTTCAGTGGCAAGACGTGTACATAGTGCACCGGTACTATTTTCTTCTCGGTCGAAAAAAGTCATGTCTTGACGGAGAATAGCTTGAAATGCTTTTGATCGAAGTCGCTTGGTGAGCGTTTCACCGGATCGTGCAAATACATAACCCTAAATAGAATGATATTTGAAAAAACCAATGGCTTGAAACTCGATCTACCTGAACCGAATGCAATACCAAACTTATAACTCCAAAGCCAACGTAAAGTAGGACATAGAACAAAACTTTTCGTTTTTGAACATTTTTATCACATTGTTGAAAAACCTGTCGATAAAAAATATTCATATTTCAAAGATGAAAAATAAATTAACTATTTACTGTCGCTAATTTTGTTTGAATAATGCAATATACCGGATCTCTGGCTCCAATTATTGACGCTGTTATACATCCAATTACAATCAATATCCATTCGGGTTTGTTTATTCGTAAAATAGCTAACATAGTATTTTCTTTTTTCTCCTATGCAGATGACTCCTAGTTCTCACAACTTGAATATTCAGCTATCTATTTTGATTACCTTTGCCTTAATCTTGTTTTTGTCATCATTTACCAGTAAATAGTACGAATCATCAATAGAAATATCATTCGGTTGATCAGTAATCATCAACTTGTTCATGTCTTTGTCTTCCAATTTTGATTCTACTTCTTCAATTTGACGTAGATTTTGTTGTTTAGCCAAGTTAAAATAAAGACCTTGAGTATTCATCAATGATTCATGATCACCTTCTTCAACTATTTCTCCTTTTTGCATTACAATGCTTTTATCAGCACGACGAATTGTTGATAGACGATGTGCAATTACTAATGTTGTTCTATCTACGAGCGAACAAGAAAAATAAGCATTCACCTCACTCTCTTGAAGTGATCACGTACTTTGAGAAGCACGCTCCAATGCTTCGTGAACTATCTTTTCGCTTTCGTTATCAAGTGAACTAGTTGCTATAGTAAATAATCGGTATTTGAAATAAATAGTAGGTCACAAGAATAGAAAAGAATTTACCTTCATCGAGAAGTAAAATTCTTGGATCACGAAGAAGTGCACGAGCCATAGCTGAAAAAAGAATGCATTGTTATCGATAAAAATGAATGTTTTCCATTACCAATTTTTTGTTTTTGTCCGCCGGAAAGTGCAGCTCCACGTTCACCAACAAGAGTTTCATATTTCTAATTACAAAAAAACAAAATCGCATTGAAACCGACTAGAACATTCTTTTTCTTTACATTAGGAAGAGCCATGATGAAATCATGTGCATTAGCCATTTTAGCTGCTTGGTGGATTTGTTCATTAGTACCTAAATCAAATCCAAACAAAATATTCTCACGAATAGTTTTATGAAATAAAACTGGTTCTTGATTGACAACACCAATGTGTTCTCGTAACCATTTCAGATTATATTCTTTCGTCTCTGTTCCATCAATACAAATTGAAACGGATTGTGGATTATAGAATTGTTGCAGTAATTGCACATATGTTGATTTTCCCGATCCAGATGAACCAACAAGAGCAACAGTTTGACCATATTTTATTTTCAATGATAAATTAGTGAGAATAGGAACATTAGATCTTGCAGGATAAAAGAAATAAACATTTGAAAATTGAATATCACCCATCAGATCATATTTAGTAAGACCTTGGTCGAAATCCGCATTAATCTCTGATGACTACGATAAAAACAAAAAATTTTCTAATCGTAAAATATGAAAACTCATCTACTTGATCAATGATTTGCCAGATGCCATAGGCAGCAACTCGAGCTTCATATAATGCTTGAAAAAAAGGACTTGCCTGTGCCAAACTTGAAATATCATAGCTAATACATATGAATATCTAAATAACTCTAATGATTAATCTCTAATTCTCTGTTACACAAGTCACTAAGAAAGAAACGAGCTACTTACAGTGAAAACACTTCCGATGCTGTAATTATCTTCCAAAATTAGTTTCGTTCCATACCAAAAACCTTCAATATTATAAGAAGAAGATGAACATCTTGAAATAGTCTAATGCAACAATATACTACCTAATGCATATACACAAAACAGAAGAAAATAAGTGATACTCGTCGTAATACCATTCGTCACACTTTTTATAATAGCACATTTTCTTGCTTCGTCAAGGTATTTTTCGTATCTATTTATTTTTAAAAATGATTTCTTCAATCGAAATGAAAACAGAACGACTACTGGCCTATGTATTTCTTTTTCTTGCCCATTATAGGCTAGTACAGTACGAATTGAACTTATGACTTCTTCAGCAACGATCCCTGCTTTTCCATATGCTTTCAATTCAATTACAGTCATTTTAATTGTAACCTACAGGCAAAAAAGGCTGTGATTATGAAGTGTTTTCTAATTAAAGAAAATTTTACTTTGAATAAAACTGCTGTTGTAATAGAAATTACTGATGAAAATGATATTAAAACAAGTGATAATTTCCATCCTCGTATAAATCCTAAACGAATCATCAATCAATCAGTTTTTATCTTTCTTTTGTTTTTAGTCATAAATCAATTACCAATAATAGTACAACTGATAAAGTTGTCACCATTTCAATAGCTGAGCCAAATTTATTACCAATACCATCCTGAATTTTATGAGTATCATCGGTCAAATGTAAAATAAGTTGGCCAGTTTTATATGTATCAAAAAAGAAAAGATCTTTCGAAAGAATAGACTGAAATAATATCTTCCGAATAGTACGAGTTTGCCTCTCGGCAGTTATCTCTAATAGTAAAACTCGAATATAACCCGATATAAGATTAACACAACCAATCACTAATAGCATCTTAACGGAATGTTTTGTATGATCACTGAGATTATAACTAATGAAAGTGAAATTCGATTCAGTAATATTGCACAATCTGAAAAAATATAATCACCGCTATCATTGTATTAAATAGCCAAGAGCATATTCCTACGATATTGTTGAATAGAAATTAATTGTTGTCAATGTTACATTCGATGGGCAAAATTTTTCAGTGAGAGAACTAAGATTGAGTGAACATAGATGAGCTGCGCGATCATTAAATGAATCAACTGTATCACCAAATATTATCAAAGCAAATGGAAGACAAATACCAAAAATGACTGACGCAATCGTTGCTAGCAGCATGTAAACTAATTCAAGAAATGTCGCATATCGAAACTAAAAATTCAAGAGAAATTTCAATCGATGCAAACAAGTTTATTTACCAAATTTCGAATGTTTACTGCTTCCGTAAGCGTTTTATCTTGTTTTCTTGTGCGCAATCGTTGCCAAAAACTTGTTTTCTCAGATTCGATTCATTTTTCTTCAGCAGTTTCTCTGAAAAAAATGAGGAATACAAAAGTATTTTTTTTACAAAACTACCTATCACATTTACTTCGAATACATGGCTTGATTTGATTCACTGTGAACCATGGTTTTTTGTTGTTGTAATCTATGATATCTGATGACCCTCTATCGCTCACCGTCCATTTTTATTCGAAAATGATTTTTGTAATATCTGTAGCAAAATGAAACAAAGTGCTGATGCTTACTTTTTCGTTGGAATATCTAATAATACTATCTTTGATTGACAATCTTTCTTTTTGTACTTGTTTAATTGTTATGAAATTGCATAATTCAAATAGAAAAAGGTTTTTCTATGAGGCATATCATATTGTCATAGGCTTGTAACCAATATTATCATTATACTTCAATGTCACAATATTATATGCTAGTTATATACACCAGCTTCTTTAAAACGTATATGATACACCCACATCCTGAATTACCTTGAAGAAAAAATTTCATCGTTGTAATGACAATAGTGTGACGTTCTTCTTTTGTTTGTCTGTTTATGTTATGCCTATGTTTCTTTTTCTTTCCGACGCTATAAATTAGCCTATGATATACTGTTTCCAATAGAGACAGGAGCGCAAAAAGGTATACTCATAACATACGTGTAGGTAGATTTATTCCGTGAAATTAAACAATGAGGAAAAAAATCCAGCAAAAATAACTGAGTTGCCTGTCCTTTCAGAGTGCTTAATTAAAGTAAGAGAGCAATGGTGAAACTTCGCTTCTCCAACGAAAGACAACAAACGGTTTGTAGGATTTGCTGTTCATTGATTGCTTCTCTATTCTAATTAGTTCGTTTTGGAAAAACTGTAGTTTTTTCTGGAGGTGTGACTCGGTGTTTGCTTCACAGCGACGCCCACACCCTCAAGCTATATGAAACGTAAAAAATTAATTTTTTGTAAGTTTGATCACTGATTTATTTATTAAAAAGTAATCATCATCATCATATACACAAAGAAAACAAACAAACTAAATAACTAAATGTTCACCACCATTTTCTGATTTCATCATGACGTTGATTTCTTTTACGCATACTTTTGGTGTATTTTCAATACATAAATAGAATAAATGTTGTGTTTTGTAATTAGTTTTTGATAATAAAAATTGAATTAAATTAACCATGAATTGAAGTTCATGCAATGAACATCGACTGTGAAGAATCAAAAATTTAATTTGATTTCTTTTGGATACATATTCAAAAGCGTAACATTGCCGATCTAGATCTAAATTGTTGTTATAGAAACCAAATGTACTAAATTGTAATGTATGTAAGTTAGATGTAAAACACAACAATCGAATAAGATCTTTCAATGGTAACCGATACGGTTAAAGAAGTATTTTCGTAATTTGTTCTAAAGAAATCATACGATTAAGATTTGTTAGAGTTGAATCGTTCCAATCGCAAGACAGTGTAAATGTCAATTGATTAACATTGGGAAAATAATTCAGATAGTTATCTTTTATTTCACTGCAAATGTATAGATGAGTAACTGAATCAAAATCCTCTTCTTGATGACGGGTACAAAGTTGTTCATCTGATGTCGAATAATATATATGATCTGTTCTTCTAAAAGACAGAAAAGGCTACAATATTTATTATCATTCGAATCAGGTGAGACTCTATTTGATAGGAGTTAATTTATATTTACCGATATGAAGTAGCCGTTTAAAGAATTCTTCTATCCATCTGTGATCTTCAATTATGTTGATGTGTAAAAAAAACAATTTTCCTCAGTCTAAAACGACGAACTGAATTGTTTGATTATATCATGTTTATTTCCAGGGTGTAGACAGGGCACGCGCGAGGTTCCAAAGATTGGGTGTGGGTGTGGGTCTGGTTTTTCTCTCCATGTACACTCACACCCATCCCACACATCCGACTCATCTGAATCCGACATACACTCTCCGCTTATTTCTTTCTGTGATGAATTAAAAAAGGAGATGAAAACTATATACACAAATGCATAATCCTCGTCATTGTTTTCACATTGGAATTCGAAGTATAAATGTTATCAACATAAACATTTAGTTTTGTGTAATCAGAACGCATAAAACAATGTCTCAACTGTGCCGATATAAGCACTCGGCCTATCCTAGGCAATGTACATAACGACTTTCTCCTCATTGTCATGTGTATTCTCTCTTCCTCTTTGTCATGTATATTCTATATTCCTCTTTGTCGTGTTCCTTCTCGTTCTCTCCGGTTGAGTGACGCGCCCCGGAGAAAGAAAGTGTATCTATAAAAGGAGAAGGATGATTGAAATAAAACAGTTCGATATCACGATAAAACATTCTTATCGTTACATCAACCATCCTAGCTTCATCTTTTTTACCCAGCCGAACTACACACCACAGATCAATAGCGTTATTATTTGCAATAATAAGATAATGCCTCTTGATGATAATTGTCAGAATCGGTCCACGACTGAGAAGATGAGCTAGATGTAATAGGCTCTTTGACGTCAAAGTATGAATATTTTCTATGAGCCATGCAATTACAATACAAAAATACAGCCGCGCCTATTCTTAAAAACAATTTGGCAGCTCCAATTAAAGCGTATATGTACTATGCAGAATGTCAAACCATTGAAGAATTAGAAGCAATAAAAAATGACTCACGCCTATTTCGTTTGGAATGCTTCATGATACGTGAGCGACTAGCAGGTGCAACGCCAGAACTTTTAAATTCACTCGATCGCTATGCTTGTAGCTGTGTAACTGAGTTATCACATGCTCTACAAATTTACTTGCATGCATGTTATCTCAGATTAAGCGCACAAATTGATCTAGACAAACTTGCACTGAGTCTAGAGAAATGCATGATGTTATGTATCAACTAGCCGAGTACAATCGGGTAGAATAAATTCCATTTTCAACATTTACATCAATATTCAAGGCAGCCATAGTTGAATTTATAAAATACAGAAAGTTGATGGTAGCAAACCCAGGGAAAATAAGATATTCTCCTGCAATGGTAGCCTTCAATTACGATTACCATCTAGAATACGATTCGGATGAACGGGTCAATATCATTTTTGAGCTTCTATTCATTGCAACAAAAGTAAGGAAGACAAAATTTTTTGCTTTTTACTGGAATCAGCAAGACAAATTTTTATTAATTCATTATTTTATTGAGTCACGTATATAATTACATATCTAGTTCTAGGAGTACATTAATATCCTAAACTCATGAGAAAACAATGGCTTATTACGCAGTCATGTTTTCTATCTAGCATTTATATAATGTTCGAGATAAGTAAAAATTTTAAATCAATAACAGTATAAGAAAAACATGAATAAACATAAAAAGGCTCTTTGATTTCGTTGAAATACTATTTTAACTACGATTTCAGTAGAGTCGCAGCTCTTAATATTCATCTACTTCCTTCTTGATTATGTAATACAGTTTCTAAATATGTTTTTAAATTTTATTGCTTTTAGGTCTTAGCGGCAAGTGAAAAGGTAGATCAACAAAAAAAAAGCTATTTATCAACTGGTTAATTAAGATGTCATTGAACATTTTATCTAATCTTGAACCACGGTATGTTCGAAAAGATATCTTAAGAATTATATGTAACTCGATTACAATTGGTATTTCTTGTATTTTATTAAATCTAATAGCTTCTAACAAAACATATCGAACAGTACCAATGTTATTAATTGTGAATACATATCTCAGTGAAATAATTTGTGCATGTATTTTATTAAGTATAGTAATATTTGTATTACCCAGTGAAAAATATTACTAAAAAAGAACGGTAAAGAATGCGTTCCAAAAGAACTGAAGCTCTTTTTTTAAGAAAAGAAAACGTTCCACAACAAATGGAAATCGTTCTCAAATGGAACGAACTAGAACGCATTCTATCATTCTAAGAAGGTGTTCTTGGTCGTTTCGAAACGGAACAGTGAAGAACGCATTCTGCCACTTGTGGAACGTTTTCTCTTCTTTAAAACGGTTAACCTTTCTGATCACCTGGGTGATCATTAATAGATGAATCTACAATTAGTCAAAAGACTGTTCCTGATGCAACTTGACGAGCTCTATCGAATGGCGTACTCCAATTCGTTGTAACTGAAACCGTTATTAAAATAATAATTTTTCTAAATCAGACCAAATATCCCTAAAGTAAAATCGAATGAAGATTCCATCATTTCTCACATCAATTTCAACCTGCTTTGCTTCAGACCTTTCATTTTAGAATGAAAATGTGGTTTGCTTCGAAAAGAAAGCATTCATCTCTTCAGAGAATCCATTGTCTTAAAGGCTCATGAGAGAACGTAAAAGGAAGCTATTTTATTTCGATGAAATGCTATGTTAACCGTTCCGAAAGAAAATGAACTAGAATGAATTCTACTGGTTTAAGAATGATTCAGAATGCTTTCTCTTCAAATAGGGAACGATTTTTCAGTATAGAAAAAAGTATTCCATACTAGTGTGGAACGGTAAAGAACGAGTTCCTTCAGATCGAGAATATTTCTTTCTGACCCTGAACGCATTCGCTCAAACAAGGAACGCATTTTCTACGTAGGAGATAGGTTTCCATATCCGCATGAAGCCATTCTATTCCATTTTTTTTCGAAATATTTTTTCACTGGGTACGACATGATATTAAGAAAATTATATATGAAGATTTACTTTCTGTTTTTCGTAGTTATTTCTTATCTAGTGTTTCAATCCAACAGATATATTCAGCATCTGCAATCACAGTAAGAAGGTTACCCTATAGTCTCATGAGGTTATTTCTTGTCGTATATATGTGACATAGGATTATTCAAGTATAATATATAAAGAGGTTAAAAAATATATATTAATGTTAGTATTACCGATTTTGTTTCAAAAAGGACAAAAGAAAAAAAGTATTGTGAATATGAATAAAAATGTTATATGTAGCTTTAGAAAACGAATATATTTTGTCTTTTTCACATTACATATTTAGGAAATTTGTATTGCTTTCCCTAAAAAAATAACCTTGCGCCGCTACTGGTCGTCACTAGTTCTCTTTATTTTCCTTCATTTGTTCTATCTTTCTCATTTCTTTCCGTCCGTCTAATTTTTTTCTTTCGCGGGTGCCATATTTCTTCCTTGTCTCGTCTGATAAATTCTGTTTTTTTTCCGAATGTTTGATCTGTCTCATTCGCCATCGGTGAGTAAAAACGAATAGACTGCTTTGTGTAAGTACTGATTTTGTTAAAGAATTTATGTGATGAAAACGTCTTTTGTAAATTTATTTGATCAAATAGAATGTTTTACAATGAAACAATACTATTATCGTGTCTATTTCATTGATTAAAGTTATGATTGTTCTTCTTCAGGGACTGGAGGAAGATTTGGACAGATTACCTGAATCGCTGCTTGAGCATCTGTAGTATTATTATAGTTTTCCTTCGTACAGATGATCACAACAACCTTGCTCACTTTTCTCCGATTGTTGATTTCGATTGATATCTTGTGTTGTCGTTGTAAAGCTTTTATCATATGGCCGTCAGGTCCAAACAGATTAAATAGATCATGTAGACCAATAAGATAGGCCTTGTTGGTATATGCAGTGCGTGGTAAGATAACCTTAGAATGAATCCAATCGACATCGATTTTTAATCGTTGAGCTGGTTCCATACCTAATAACACTCGAGGCGTATGTTTAAGTTCATGAACTGGCACTGCTATTTTTTTTCACAAAAATCAATTATTAAAGGTCCAAAGACGGTTACCCCCATCTTCTTTCCATCGAGTGGCGATTCAATTTTAATTGGTGAGCCTACTGTCACTAATTTCCGTTTTTGAATGTATTCCTAGGTAGATCAAAACGGACTCGTTTGCAATCTGTTTATCGACCGTAAACGGGACTGAATTTTCATGGTTTCCGGCTGTTTGTGCTCCGTACGCTCATGATCATACGGTCCGTATTACTGCGCCAGATATTACGGCAAACTTTCGCCGAAAAATAGTCGTAAAGTAATCGTAAACGGCCGTATACGAACCGTACTGTTCGACCTGGGTTCTGATGGTAATCCGAGTTCGGACGAACCTGTATCCAATTCAGCTACTGTTTCAAGACGACAAACATCAGATTCAGGCATCATTAAATTTTGAGATTTCCATAGTTGGTCCGCATTGATCAACACTATATCACAGCTTATTCAGTGAGTAGCAGCAGATCCGACCTTTGACGTGGCTTAACTAGAAATAGAAAATAGAAACATAGCAGTTTACATAATTATAAATAAGATACTTTTCAATTTAAGATTTTAAGTTCAAATTAATCCAATAGATTTCATTTAATAATTGACTATAGAAAATGCAATACATTCTGCTTAAAGGAAAACTGTCTTCGATCGTACTTAATCTCAATTGTCTTAGACAAACAAATCTGAAGAACTTCACTGCAAACAGTTTTGAAAATATTAAATTTTCAACTTTTCAATGATTTCTTTTTATAAAATGTCCTTGAATATAATGATAATTCAAAACGATAACATATGTTACACAAATGTACATTTAAATTAAGTCGATGGGGCGAGTTGGATTCTTTTGCAGATTTAGACGTCATCAAACTACAAGAATCGAAATATTTTCGACAAATAATCGGCTCTGTAATTATTCTCTGATTTTGGCTAATGAAGCAAGAGGTCACTGTTTGCAGAAGCTACGAATTTTACGTGTCGAAAACGAAAAAACATAGGAAATGGATATACGTTTGATTAAAAGGAAGTAGTTTAGTAGACACTTTTAACTTTTTCTTGCATACAATCATTGATGATTCGCATCTATCGTAAAACTAACTATAAAAGATAATATTATAATAGCTTGTTTTCTCAAATTATGATTTTATGGACTGTTTAATAGTACTATTTTCGACTTTAGCGCCGGTATATAGTAATTTCAGATCTCATACTGCAGATATAAGTTCAGATGTGATATCTTATTAGGAATTAAGTAACTATTGACCTATTAAATTTGATGAGACTAGAAAACGCGCATAGTAAGGTTCATCTACACCGATTATTCTTGTCAAATGATGAGTACAATATGGGATTTTTAACCTTTGATAGTGAAATTTTAGGAAAACTAATTACAACTTGCAATCCAAAATTTTACGGAAAATATAAAGTCTATGAATAATTAGAATGTCGTTCATTTTCCGCTGAAACATGTTTCTCTGCTTCTTACTCGATTTCTAACCTTAGTGGTAATTGCATTGAATAAAAATATCCCCTCTGCATGATCTTTTGAAAGTAATGACCTTCTATTTATGTTGAGGAACTGTACTTTTCATTACAAATTTTGTTTACATAAAACAGTTGCGTCTAACTATTTGTAGTGTAGTGACATTTTGTGTTTTTCTTTTCTTTGTCTCTGTTGTTTCGTATTGTTGTGTTCGTTCTTGTTATCACGTTATGCTATACAATACGTATATTGTTTTCTCTTTCTTTTGTCGTTCTTTGATATTTTTCGATTTCATTTTTTCTGTATTGATCACCAAGGTCAAAACAACACTGTGTTTGGCCTTGATGATTTTCTACAATTGCGTAATAGTATTTTCTATTACGCAATATTAAATAGACAATAAATACATTAGAAAGGGCGTACCGAGTGGGATACGCGACATTATTCGTGCATTTCTATCGTATATCTTGTGATCCACAATAATTAGAATGAATTTATAACTAGTTTAAAGTCATCAAAAACAAAACGGACTAGCCATCATGAAGATAACAGTTAGCGAACCTCATGCCAAAAAATGTATGATCGTCCTACATATTTGCTTCAGTTTTGTTGTACAACAATAGTGGCACTATAGGTTTTTGTTTCTATTTTAAACTGATTGTGAACTTTTTCATCTTTTGACATCGAAGACTTTCAGATGTACGCCGCACGTTTTTAATTCTTAATCACGAGGTGTCTGCTAACATGCAAACAATAAATATTCTGTATACTTGAAATTAACAAACTTTCTTATTTGTAATAGTTTTGAATGGTATCCGCTTTTCACAAGTTCATATCTGAGAATTTCTCACTGAATTTCAACAAAAAATAATTGAATTCATCGAGTGAATTTTCTTTCCAGCACGCTTTGCTTCGAAATGAGTATAACAATGAATATGTCTCACACGGTAGATTTGAAGAATATATGTGAAGTTTTAATTAATTGAGAACAAAAATAATATGATGCTTTTTTTGTCTGTAGGACCTTTGTTCTGCTGGTGTAGCAAGAGAGAGAACAAGGCATGAATAACTGTATCTGAATGTCTGGTTTTAGTTTTATACTCCTAAAAAGTGTTTAACACACTTTAACACATTGATTTATTGATTACTTTTTTTCTATGTTTGTTTCTAACAAAGTGTATATATGCGTCTATCGATCCTATTAAAACGCATGAATGCAGAAGTATTTTAGGTTTACATCTTCTTGTTACTGAAAGAATCAAGTCTTCGGCTATAGACATTCTTGACACTCAGCTATCGAACGACGTAAAAATATATGAGACTGTTTTTACATTTTAATGTATTACGGTGCAATCTATAACGATAGAATTTGCAGCGAATTAGCAACTCTATGATAATAACAAACACGGATACAATGAATTATACGTTGATCATTGATTGAACAGAATATTATTTTCGTATGCGCTCTATAACAAACAAGTATGTCACAGAAGAAAAACATAACTATATACTTTATAGGCACATGTCCCTTTTAGTGAGTACAAGTTGAAAATGTAGGATTGATGACGATGGACTACTCAGTGTACTTCAGCTGTTGTCTTATTGAGGAAAAGAAACCGATAGAAAAGGAACGATCGTTAGGAGAAATCATTTTACAGACAAATGATAAAAATTGACAAGATAGTATTTTAATCGAATGAAAAACTAAACGATCAAACGAATTTATTTAGATTCATTGTAGTAATTCTTATGATACGGTATCATGTACGAAGTTGACTTCGATCTTCAAATCTCAAATCTACGTGAAGAAGCATATCTCAGTGTTGAAAACATCGGTCGCGTACAAATTTCACGTGTTGTCATCTTGGATGGCGTTCGTCAATTACTAATCAATAGTTTCATGCGTGATCGTCTACATCTCAATGTTGATATCGGTCATATGTCGTTGTGTAACATTGGGCCAGGCAATTTAGATTTCCTACTGAATCCTAATCTTTATGAATCATTACAAGATGTTGTTCTACGTCAATATCAAGGTGATCAATGGAAAGGCTACTACTATGTCACGCCAATATTCGTACCAAATCTTCCATGGGATATTGTACTTGGATCTAATCATTTTTATCGACTCGGCGTAGAGTGGAATAGTGAAATGAAACAACTAGTACCATTGACAACTCAGCGTCCTATTTTTCGTCCGCGTGTCTTTCCATCTAGATACGAAATAAGAACAACCCAAGACTTTCTTCGGCAATTACTATAAAGAAAAAATTATTTCTGGTATTACCACTTCATTCTTCTTATATGATTGACTTAGCCTATGATTTGTCATTTTGATACTATATATTGTCTTGTTTTTTTCTGTGGTATTGTGAAATATACAGATACATCTGGTATGTCAACGCTATTTTTTAAAAAAGGAGAATTTTGGAGGATTATCGTTGAAAATATTTTGAAGAGGATCTGATGTAAAAAAGGAGGAATATAGGAGGATTTCTGTCTTCTCGGAAAAATAAGAGTCCTACGCAAGTTCGAGCTTATTAATATTCTGAATAGGTTTTATTAAAACATTTAACATAATTTCAACAAATGTTTATGTATAAATTTTAAACAAAAAGATCGAAAAAGCAATCGCTTAGAACAAAATATAATAAATGAAATCAAACAACTGATTATTACAAAGAAAATGGTCTAACTGTAGTATACCATAAATATAAACATTAGTATAAGTCGCAATAAATATTTTCGTCTTGAATTAATACTGATATAGTTTGTACAAAAGAAAACTACTTTATTTCGAGTTTTCAATGCTTTGAAGTTGTAACCATCAAGAAATAAAAATATTCGAAGGTAAAATAAATATTTATGTATAAATTCTTAATATATAGTATTAAAAGATGATCTAATTACAACTTTCGTAAAGCGCAATACATAAAGAAAACAAAAGAAAAAGCGAACGACATTTATACATATAATAATTATATAATTGTGTTAGCTGTTTGTTTTGTTCTTTTTTCTCTTTCTTCCTCTATCTTCGTAATTGCAATTGTAATTGTATTATCTTTTAATGTTACATATTAATAATTAATACGTGATTGTTCACATTTCTATCTAATTGCATGAGATGTCGATTCTATAGTATTAGAAACGCAAAATATAATTTGATTTTCATTGAAAATTAATACCTTGTCGTGTTAATGCTACTATGACTTACTTGAAATATCTTTTGAATTGCTGACTCATCAAAACGTTTTGCTTGAAATATTTAAAATTTTGACTTTTTATCTTAAATGACAAAAGCTGTTAGCGCAATCCCTTCGGGATTTAAATGTGAAACACGACGTAACTGTTGAGGTGTATCATAGTCATTACTCCACCTCTCTATT